CTTTATTATTTTGAGGAGTGTCACTTCTATTCCTATTTTGCTGAGAGTTTTGATCAGGAATGGGTTTTGGATTTTATCGCATGCCTTCTCTGCATCGATTGATATGATCATGTGGTTCTTTTCCTTTGTTTTATTTATGTGATGGATGGCATTGTTTCTCTAATGTTGAACCATCCTTGCATACCTGGTATGAACCCCATTTGGTCATAATGTATTCTTTTTTTGATAAGTTGTTGAAGTGTATTGTCAAGGATTTTGTTGAAGATTTTTGCATCTATATGCTTGAGGAATATTGGTCTGTAGTTTTCCTTTTGAGTGATGTCTTTGCCTGGTTTTGGTATCAAGGTTATGCTTGCTCCATAAAATGAATTTGGAAGGACTTCATGCTTTTCTGTGTTCTGGAATAGTTTGAGTAGCATTGGTGTCAGTTTTGCTCTGAACATTCAGTAGAATTCTCCAGTGAAACCATCTGGGCTAGGGGTTTTTTGTTGTTGATAATTTTTTTAAGACCTCTTCAATTTCTTCTCTTGTTATGGGTCTGTTCAAATTTTCCACCACAATCTGTATTAGTTTAGGTAAGTAGTATGTTTCTAGAAATCTGTCCATTTCTTCCAGATTTTAAAATTTGTTGGTGTATAGTTCTTCATACTAACTCTAACTCACTGCTGTTGAGTCAGATCTGACTGACAGAGAACCCTCCTTGGGTTTCCGAGACAGTATCACTATGGAAGTAGATTGCCCTATTCTCCTTCCAAGGAGTGGCTGGTGGGTTTGAACCACCAGCCTTCTGGTTAGCAAATGCCTTAGGCACTACGCCACCAGAGCTCCCATAGTTCTTCATAGTATCCTGATACTATCCTTTTAATTTGTTGATTCTGTTGTGACATCACCCAATTCATTTCTTATTTGTGTTATTTGTATTCTCTCCCTCTTTTCCTTTGTTAAATTTGCCAGTGGTTTGTCAATTTTATTAATCTTTTCAAAAAAGCAACCTCTAGTCTTGTTTTTTTCTATTGTCTATTTTCTGTTTTATTTATTTATTCTGCTCAAATCTTTATTATTTCTTTTCTTCTGGTGAATGCAGGGGTTGTTTTTGTTTTTTTTCTACTCTAATTTTTGAAGATGTTGAGTTAAGGTGTTGATTTGGCTCTTTCTTCTTTTTTTTTTTTTTTTATGTGTGCATTTATTACTATAAATTGGCCTCTGATCTCTGCTTTTGCTGTGTCCCAAAGATTCTGGTATCTTGTGTTTTCATCCTTAATTCATGGAATTCTTTAATTTCATTTTTTATTTCTTCTATCACTCAGTTATTTTCAAGGAAGGTGTTATTCAATTTCCCTATGTTTGCTCTTTTTCTGTTGATCTTCCCATTGTTGATTTCTAATTTTATAGCATTGTGATCTGAGAAGATGCTTTACAGTTTTCCAGTGGTTTTAAATTTATTAAGGCTTGCTTTGTGGCCTAACATATGGTCTATCCTGGAGATTGTTCCACGTGCACTGGGAAAGAATGTATATTGCACTCTTGTTGGGTGAAGTGCTCTGTAGATGTCTGTAAGGTCAAGTTGGTGGATTGTATTCTTTAGTTCTCCTGGGTCTTTGTTTTCTTTCCAGTTGTTTTATTTTTGACTGAAAAGTGGTGTATTAGTCTCCTACTGTGACTGTGGAGTCATATATTTGCCTATTCAGTTCTGTTAAAATCTGACTTATGTATTTTAGGGGTCTTTCATTGGGTGTATAGATATTTATTATCATTATGTCATCTTGTTCAATTGATCCTTTAATCATTATATAATGTCCTTCTTTGTCTCTTATGATGGTTTTTGTCTTAAAGTCAGTTTTATCAGAAATTAATATTGCCACTCTTGCTCTTTTATGGTTGTCATTTCCTTAATATATCTTTTTCCAACCTTTGATTTTTACCATATACTAGATTCTTAATCAATGTGCTGTGTTGCCTTTCTTGCAAACATGCATCTCTGAAAATGTCCTTATTCACTATCACAATAATTGATGTTTGGATGGAATTCTAAGTTTGAAATAACTTTTCCTCACATTTTGTAAGTGCTGTTCCATGTCTTGTGGCTAAAACTATTGCTGAGACCAAAGCCATTTTGACCTTTGACCTTTATATAAAACCAGTTTCCCACTCCCCCTTCTGGAAGCTTATCAAATCTTTTTGCAACATTTTTTGGAATTAACCAAATGTCTTGGTATGGCTGTATTTGTACAGGGTGCTTAGTGGACCTTTTCAATCTGGAAATCACACATTTATTCAACAAATATGGAATGAGCACCACCTATGTGCCAGGCATCGTTGTAGATGTTGTCAGTATACCAGGAAATTCCTCTTTTACTTCTCTAAGTGGGAGAATAAGAGAGATCACCTCACATTCTATGTGCTTCTTAAACACCTTTAGTCAATCCTCCAGTTTTCAGCACCACGAGCATCCCCCACTATAAAAGGTATCTGAATATTCAATTCCTAAGCCTTTTGGAAAATTCTGCCACATAGAATGGCTTCTCAGTTTCCCCCAGTATGGCTTAGGATTCTCAAGTTTGCTAAAAGTTACAACTCTTTTACTGATTTCTTACTTCCAAAATGTTATTTGGAGGGGTCGCTATGAGTCAGCTCGAACTCAATGGCAGGGAGTTGGGTTTGCTTTAAAATGATATCTAATTTTCTTTGCCCTTTTGAGTCTATGCTTTTTTATTCTTAACCTCTTTGTTTCAGTAGAAGTTCAGGAGGATGTGAACACTAACATCAACTACCATCTTTACCAAAAAAACCAAAAACAACATTTTGTATGTTATTTATTTCTGCAAAGTTTGAGGTTTTTGTTTGTTTATTTGTTTTGGGTCCATTTGTTTGCTTGTTTTTAGTTTTCAATTTTTTGGTTTTTGTTTTCTGCCACCATCCACCACCCAAATTTCCTAAATTCAAGCTTTCAAACTCTTTGTTTTCTAAAGAATGTATCCAAGACTGTAAATATTGCTTTGAGTTTTACCTTTTGGAACATCCCATTGACTTTGGTATTTCCTATTCTTAGTGTTGTTCAGTTCTAAATCATATGTAGCACCCATTCTGTGTTCCCTTTATTTCAGGAGCTATTTCTAAGTGTATTAATTTTATAATATGAAAAATAAATTCCCTCATTACTTCAGCCAATGAAATAAATAGAAAACAATAACCAATGTCAACTCATGCACACCTCCTGGTAGTTGAAATCCCAAAAGCTCTTTGTTGTTGTTGTTGCTGCTGTTGTTATGTGCCATCGAGTTGGACCCGACTCATAGCGACCCCTCCTTGGATTTCCTAGGCAGTATCACTACGGAAGTAGATTGCCCCATCTTCCTTCCGAGGAGTAGCTCTTTGTAGGCCTCATCAGATCCCTCTGGCCCTTTCTTCTTTTCCCCACATGCCATTATTTCACTTGCTCTTTGCTCTTCTAAACTGACACCACTCAAACTACTTTTAAAGGTTTCCATCCTAAAAGTCCACTGGGAAATAAAGCAGTCCCTCCCAAACCCTTTCTTTATCAATTTACACCTCCAAACAGTCCCTAGGTCTTTTTTCGTTTACATTAAAGATCTGGGCACCATCACAGTTATACAAAATAAGAATTTCTGGAAGTTAGAAAAGAAAACTACTCTTTTTACAAGCACATCAGGTAATTAAAATACATGGTAAAGTTTGTTGCTGGTTTTGTTAAGTGCTGTCAAGTTGATTCCAACTCATAGAGGCCCCATATGACAGAGTAGAACTGTCCCCACTGAGTTTTCTTGGCTATAATCTTTACAAAAGTAGATTGCCAGGTCTTTCTCTGCAGAATGGCTAACTGTCAACCTTTTGGTTGGTAACTGAGAGTTTAGCCACTGTGCCACCTTTAAGAACCACTAATTTAAAGGTTTTTCTTTTCCTTACTATGGAGAAACATCCATCTGGCAAAAGCAACACTAAAGAATGTATGGCTCTTCCATCACTGTTTAAGAACTGAAGTTTACATAAATACTAACAATGTATTACTCAAGTTCTTTTTGCAGTAATTCTTCACATGGTTTTTGCATAGTTGTAAAGGATCCTCATTAATGTCAATACCAAGGGGAACTCAAAGATCTACTTCACTCACCCCCTCAATTCTGACCCACTGCACAACCCCCTTTATTTTTAAAAAAAAATTATGTATGCTTATTCAGATTTCTGCCATGTTGACTTTACACTGTTCATCCTATTTCTTTAGTAACTCATCACATTCTTATTTACAAGTTATGCTATCTGCATAGAAGGCAGTGCTTGCAAAGAGAAAATCAGAATGATCACCAAGAAAAATTACATGACAGATCCAACAAAGATGAATGCCTTTGTGTACATTTACTTAGGAAACAAACAGACGTTTTGATAACAAAAGCAAAATTTTAAAAAAAAATAATTCCTTCATGTTTAAAGTCATGACTGGACATGATTGCTTTCAGTAATATAAATGGTTGCTGTCATTGCCATCAATGCATACATATTTTTACTGGTTATTTCACATAATTGTTGCATAGATGTACAAGATCCTCAGTGATCCAAGCCAAGGGCAACACAACTTCAATTGCACTACTATACCACCTAGCCATTGGCTCACTAAATAATCTGCATTGATTTCTAAAGTCCATTGGTGGAAGCTCATTCAACTGTCTACTCTCACAGGTCCTACATGCATCCTCCTGTTTCTTCTAGGCTGCCTCTTTCTAATCACAGTGGCCTAATACAGGATGCCCTCCTCCCCAAACTTTAACACCCAACATATCCTTCCAAAACTTCTAACACTAGCATTCCCACTATGCAAGCACAGCCACTGTTGCTCAAACCTAAAAGGGACTGATGCAAAGGTCAAGTATTTCCATTTTCTACCCAGCAGAAAGATTTTATTATATAAACAGTCTTCAAATGTATACAGATTACAATGGTGTTTATGCTCAAACAATTGTAATACACATAAGGAGGGAAATAAAGACAATTTGGGTTGGAGACTTGCTGGGCATAAAAGCCATAGGAATTCCAACACTAACCTCATGAGGAGTGAAAAGCAGGGGTCAGAGTAACTGAGGAAGGTTTCACAATGGGAGTAAGACCCTGGAAGACACGTACTATTTGAACAGGTGATGAAGGTATTCCGGATGTGGGAAGCAGCATGAACAAAGGCCCTGAGGTAGGAATGAGTACAGTACGTGGAAAAGCCAAAGAAGGCACTGCCATAGCTGGTGCAGAGGATGAATTCTGCAGAGAAACAGGAGACAAGGCTGGAGAGGGACCCTGGGGACCGACTGGGGATGGCCCAAGCACCTTGACAGGCTTCTTCTCCACAGGGTGCAATTTCTGATGCTGCACAAAGCTTCCATACCATTTGAAGGCTTTCCCACATACCTTACATTCATAAGGCTTCTCGCCGGTGTGAACTCTCTGATGCTGAATAGAGGCTATTTTCTGAGTGAATGCCTTGCCACACTCCTTACATTGGTAAGGTTTCTCCCCAGTATGAATTCTCTGATGGACAATAAAAAGTGATCGACACCCAAAAGCTTTCCAACATTCCTTACATTTATAGAGTTTCTCCCCAGTGTGTAATCTCTGATGCTGAAGATATGCTGCACTTCTACGGAAAGCCTTCCCACACTCCTTACATTCATAGGGTTTCTCTCCAGTGTGGATCCTTTGGTGTTGGGTCAAGGCTGTGTTGGAACTTAAACCTTTGCCACACACTTTACATTCATAAGGCCCTTCTCCAATATGATTTTTCTCATGGACAATACAGTCATAGCTGGACTTGAAAGCTTTGCCACATTCCTTACACTTAAAGGGCTTTTCCCCAGTATGACTCATCTGATGTCGAGTAAGTTTGGAGTTGTATCTGAAGATTTTCCCACATTCTTTACATTCGTAGAACTTCATTCCACCTCGAAGTATCATATTTGGATTTGGACTGAAAGTCTGTTTTGTTGCCTTACTTTTAAAATCACAGTGCTGAGAAACATTTCTGAGGAGTCCTTCTACTGGCAACTCTGTTTCTTCAGAGATTTCCTGCATTATAATTGGCTCTTCGTTCTTGATCCAGGACTCACCACCTGACCAAAGAAACCATAAATGTTCCCAGTTACTGAACTAGAAGTAAAGCAGGATCCAGTGGTCTTAATTTTCTCTTGTAGGATGTGATTTTTAAATTACATCAATGAAATGACTAGAAGATTACATAAAAGAGGATGAGAGAGATGAAATAATGACATACAATGGGCAAGTGAAGACAATGGAACCAGTCCAGGAAAATGGATAAGAAGTGCCACCTACAAGGAAAGCTGGGAAGTGAACCAAGGCAAGTGAAATGAAAATCTCAAGAATGGGAAGAAAAGAAGTATGAGGAGAAAAAAAGAAAAAAGAATGGGATAGATAAGAAGGATCAGCAAGAAATGGAAAACATTTAAAACAGAAAGGAGAGACGCAAAATAGGAAAAGAAAAAGAGATCAGTGAGATGGGGAGAGGGTCCATGAACAGCTCTAGTATTACAAGGGGGCCAGAAGGCTGGGAAATACAAACTAGGAAAAAACAGATCCTAAACTCCCTCCTGTAACTTAAGAAACCACTCAGAATTCTAAATAATGACTTAAAAATCCTATTTTTAAATATCCCACATAATATTCTGGGATAAAAGATGAATTCTTTCAGAAAGTCAGCTGAATGGAAGGTAGAGTGAAGAACTATAGGTACTATAGAATTACTGGTACAGGAACCACTATCTGTAAAGCCACAGTAAGCAGGTGGTTGGAACTTGCTTCCAAAAGAAATGAAAACCCAGTAACCAAATCTTTCAAGGAAATTTCAGGCTGTGTTTGTTGGGGATGCAGGTGGGGGAATATTACTTGCCTTTTCCACTATAGTCCCATATATGACAAATAAAATGTAGACTAAAAGTGTATGGCATACAGGACTTTTAGGTGATTTTGATACTAAAACAAGCAAGTTAAAGCCATTGTTTTTTTTTGCTGGAGACCTAAAAATAAAATTCATAGCTGTGAAATAAATCCATGTGGCCCACACAATCCTACCTATCTTGAAGTATGGCTAACTCCCCACTGATCTGCAATGAAAACTGGTATAAAATGAAATATTTCCACTGATAATTTAGAAAAGAACAAAGTGGTCTGGAAGCCACTCCTCTGACTGGGAGGAAGCCTTTGGATGTATAGACAGCAGGGCTACATACTTCCAGTCCCCCATCTAAGCACTGGCACTGAGTGAAAGCCAGAGAGCATGGAGCACTGCCTTGTATAAGACCAGAGCTTTGCCCCTACAGCAGAAGAAACACTCACTACATGTTAAACTGGGAAGACAAAAGAGGAAACAAAGCATGTTCTCTTACTTACCTAAACAGATGCCTCTTAAAACCTCTGTTTCCCAGGGATCTGGGCCCCATGGTGCTTCCCATCTTTCTAGCTGGGAGATCAGAACAGGTCTGGGGAATGGAAATACTACTTCAGGAAGATAAAAAAAGAAAGACGAGTTGAAGGAAGACATACAATTTGTTTCTGAGACCACTCTCAGCCTCCCCTCCAATAGGTTAACTGGGGAGAGAAATGGAATGCCCAGGAAACCAAGTGAGCTACCAAGGGGTTCTAAGGATGTGTCCAAACTCCTCCAAGATGAAACCAGGAAGACAGTGATTTTCCTTGGGAAGAACCCTGCAATCTGGCCCAAATTTAGAACAAAGGAAAGTCACTCAGTAAGGATATATGTACTGATATCCCAAGGAACTCCTTCACAAAGGTGAAGGTCAAAGTCTCCAGAAAACTGAAAGAACGGAAGAACAAAGGGCTCACCTGTGGAACAGAAAAGTTTTTTTCTCTCAGGGCCCAGAACATTACCCCTCCCTGGGGGTGGGTAGGGAAGTCCAGTTTCAAAACCAAAGGAACCAAGATTCTCCCCACCCAGCATCCTGAGACTGGTGATTGCAGAACTCTTTGGAGTCCTCAAACCTAAAGGCCACTAAAAATCCCAAAACACTGAAGGAAGATGTCAAACTGTCACAAAGGGCCATTGAAAGAGAGGCCTTACCCAGGGAAGCCACATTTGCATAATTCTCCAGCATCACCTCCCTGTACAAAGCTCTCTGTGCAGGATCTAGGATGGCCCACTGATTCTGGGTAAAGTACACAGCCACGTCCTCAAAGGTCACCAACTCCTGAAACAACAGAATTCTGCTTAGGCCCTGAGGGAGGGGTAAAGGGGGAGGTTTGAATTCCAGAAAAGGGATGATCTAGCAGTGTTCATGGCTCTAAGCCCCATGAAAGGTTTATATATAAGAGGGGATTTACCTAGCAACCCTTAACCATGCTTCCACTCTCAATGTGCAGCCTCTAGGACTCCAACACTGTCATCCCAAGTATACAGCCTTACACCTGCTGCTCTCAGCCTGGTAAATGCATTAATGCCTATGTTCTCTTGGCTCCACGAATCTGTCCCTCTAGGACCACCAACCCATGTGTACTCCATAAATTCAGTCACCTTATTTTCTATAAACCAACCACTGCCAAAATCTTGATTCAAGTACATAAAAGAAGAACTAAATAAATTGGAAACTAATATGTTCCTGAATGGGAAGAACCAAGTTTGTGAAAACAAGTTAATTATCTCCAAACTTACCTATGAATTCAAAAAAGCCACCCAGTCCCCATGAGATTTATGCGGGAGTAAGAGGGTCATTTAAAGTCATCTGAAAAAGTAGGTGTGAAAAAGTAGCTGAGATTTAAAAAATAATAATAATAATAATTAATTACTTAAAGAAAGTAAAGATGAAGGGGAAAATTAAGCTATACCTTAAAGGGACAATATTTAATCTCTTATCGGAACTTCAGTATTCTCCTAACTGACTCATGCTTTTCCACAACCAACTGCAGCTAAGAAGCTAAAAAAACATTTTTAATATCTACATCCAACCATGCCCCTACCCTTTGCTTAAATTCTTTAATGCCTCCCCTCTGAACCCAGAATAGAAGTCAAAGTCTTCACCATGACCTAATACACCCTTGCCTGCTTCTCTAACCTCCCTCTCTCTGACTCCTTATTTCTAGAATAAACTAGTTTTCTCCTCTCACCTCAGGGCCTTTGCATTTGCTATCTTCCTCTCTGGAAAACTCATCTTTAGCTCTTTCTTCAGTTATTCCCATAACTGATTCCATCTCATTCTAAAACTCTCAAGTCACACATTACTACCTTGATGAGGGGCTTCCCAGACCTTAGCTTTAGAGGGACTACCTGTTCAGGGCTTTTCAAGCTTAAGGTGCATAAAAATCACCTGAAGAACTTTATACAACAGATTCCTGACCCCACTCACCACCAGAGAATCTAATACTGGGTCTGGGATGGAGCCCCAAAATCTGCATTTTGAACCAACTCCCAGGTGATGCTGATGTTACCGGTCCGTGGACTAAGCATTAACCACTGTACTTTAGCACTTACACCAGCATGGAATTATTGTAGTGATTTACTTACTTGTTTAGAGACTGTGTATCTCACTAAAGCAGTGGTGCAAACAGTTAAAACACTTGGGTACTAACCTAAAGGTAAAAGGCTCAAATCCACACACAGATGCCTCCGAAGAAAGGCCTAAGGATCTACTTCGGAAAGAAAAGCTACAGAAAACCCACAGTTCTACTCTGACACACATGAGGTCACCATGAATCAGAATGACTCAAGTGCAACTGGCAGTTATGTCACTAAAAGTATCCTCCATAAGAAAAGGAAATTTAGTATGTATTATTTGATACTATGGACCTACCACTTAGAAAGTGGTAAAATTATTTTGCTGAATATTAAAAGAATAATGTTGGTCTCTCTGGGAAACATCTACAATTTGTAGGGCAGTCTCTTCAATGAAGAATCTCTCTGGTCTCAGCAGTTCACTTACATTTGTAGATGATCTAGATTTCCATATTCAGGAAGAATTTCTTAGCTTGGGCCCCCTTTTTTGCACTTAAATCTACATTCCCAAGCCCACCACACTCTACACACAAAACTCTCATTCCCCCAACCACATGTTTACATCTGCCACATGCCCCAGTGGTAGCCTCAAAGGGGAACCAAATTAGATGTTCTTAATTGATAGCTAAGGAGTCCTGGTGGCACAGTCATTAAGCACTTGGCTGCTAACCAAAAGGTCATCAGTTTGAAACTACCAGCTGCACTGCAGAAGAAAGACGTGGCAGTGTACTTCCATAAAGATTACAGTCTTGGTAACCCTATGGGGAAGTTCTGTTCTGTCCTATAGGGTCACTATTAGTTGGAATCAATGAGATGGCAATGGGTTTGGATTTGGTTTGGATCTGATAGGTAATGTGCGTGAAAAAGACTGGTAAGAAGCTCAGCTCACCTGAGGCCAAGTTGTTTGGTGCATAGCTGATGTCCCCTGGCTTCATGCACTGTCTTCTGGGATTGGAAAATCAAGAACCTTAGAAGCTAAGAGAAGAAGAGTCATGAGAGCAATGGACCCTGTCCAACATCACCCACAGCCACTTCTGGCCTTCCCAGTGTCCTTGTTCCTAGCACTATTAATCACTGTCAGGTCCCCCCTTGCTATTCCTGTGCGAATCACCCCCAACGTCATCATAAATTGCTCTGCCTGTTACCTCAGGACAATCCTCCATCGCCCTGCTCAGTCTGAGGAGCATGCTGAATGCCATTCACCTAAGGCGGACTAAAGGATCCAAGAACCCTGTCTTTAGTGTTGGTTCTATACAAATGGAAAGTTTCACAGAATCCTTACAGGGGCCACGACAATGACCCCAAAAAAAGGAGCTTCTGAAGAAAGAGGTGGACAGAGGTAAGATACTCAAGTGTCCCAGGGGAGATGCTGACCAGAGAGAGACCTGACCAGGATCTGAACATTCCCCGGGAGTAGGCAATACCAAACATCAGAAACGTCAATACCCGGCACGGGAGGCGGTCAGGCCAGTCCCTTGAGGAAAGAAAAGAGGATCACATCTCTGTGAGAAGGAGCTGGGACCCGGCCCCGAGAAACAGCGCAGCCACCTCGGGTGGCTTTTGCGAGGCCCAAGCGCTTAGGCTCAGGGTCAGGAGAAACGGGCAGGCATTGGCACCGAGTTCAGGAAAAGGTGAGCTGACGAGCAGCCAGGGACAGCAAGGGAGCCGAATTCGGGCGGACCTGGCATGTAGAACTCGCTGAAACCCACGCTCTTCCACTTGGAACCCCTAGAAGGTGGTAACTAACAGCCGATCCGGTAGCGAAAGTACTTCCAATGCCCCTCTAGGCCGCCCGGAGGCCACCTATCTTGGTCATCCCGGCGGCCAGGAGCCCACGTGACTAGCCCCGCCCAACGGAAGAGGCGGGGTAGCTGAGGCAGGCTGCGGCCCGAACCGCCAGTTAGGGCCGCGGAGCCACAGTGCCCTCTGCCGGTGTTTCCTCAGTTGGAACCGCCTCGAGGCTGGTAGTCCGCACCTCAGTGCAGCGACGCCTCGTCCGGTGCACAAATTGAGCCCTAGTTAACGGACCACCCCGCTTGGCTCCAGAGCCCTTCCACCTGTCGGCCGCCGTTACTCCGTGGGTCACCTGAAGCCTGGGCTGTGCAGGTATGAAGAAAATGGCGCCCTTTTTTTTGTCATCTTTAGACACACAACTCAAGGATTCTCGTTGGGTCCTGAGTTGGGCAGCCTTTAGGATAACGATGGTTTTCATCTGTTTTTTTTTTTTTTTTTTTTTTTTTTTTTTTTTTTTTAAACCACAAATGTTTTAATAGAGCTCAAGAGTGCACTGGGTCACACTCTGGGTAGCTTCATCTACATTTTGCGGCTTCTGGCTTCAAAGGACTTTAAATAACCATGGCTTTTCTTTTGACTGGTACTCGGCCTTCACGCAGCAGAATTTATTATTCATGCAGTAAACGTAGATGTTTTCCTTCCTGAAGCATTATGCAGGCATTTACCATGAAGATTCCAGCTTTTGGGGGTGCAGCGATTATAGGGTTTATTAGGGAAGCAACAGGTTATAGTTCAGGTTCAGGAACGTTAAGGGTACAATTCTCCCATCAGGACAATCTCCCCTGGTCAGGCCCGTAGGCACGCCTCTCTTTGGCTCTCAGCCTACCCTCCACCTTGTTTGCACAGGTGTTACAAAGCTCTTTTAGCTCTGCCCATAGGTGCACCCTACAATGCCAGCAAGCCTCCAGCCCAAAGGCACTTAGCTCTTCAGTCTCTCGGATTCTGCTGCCGTCTCTGCCAGTGTTAGAACTCTCTCTCCAGGGTTAAGGAGGTCCAACGCAGGAATCTCGGGTCCAAGGACCAGTTCCACTCCTGGTTGTTCTTTCTTGCTGTTAGTGAGATCTCCCTCTATCTGTCCTTTTAGTTTTCTCCCTTCCTAAGACCTAGATGCGTGTGAGGCCATTAAGATAAATTAATTTAACAACTAAAATGACAGTGATTAAAGTTGCCAAGTACCCTGTATATACATACGGAACACGTAGTATACTTAATGATTTTTGTCCTGAGACTTGTTTTGACTTTGTCAGGGTGTCCTAAATGCCCTGTATTTAGCTTTTTTTCAGTAAATTATAAAGCTTGGCGTTTTTCTACCACAGTAATTGGCACTTAAATAAATGGTAATTAGCTGTAAATTCATTCTTCTACTTTATAACTGTGTCCCCTGCAGGTTTGGCTGAGGGAAGAGAGAAAAGGACTGAGAAAAGTACTTATTTTTCATATTCAAGAAAGGAAAAGACTGTTCTTTGATGAAAGTCCCAAGTTGTGAACAAGTTACTACCCTTAACTGATGCAATATTGAATCCCAGTCCTCAACTGCCTCACTTCTGAACACTAACCAATCAGTGATAAATGCTCAGTCCTTAGTGGCCCAATCAGTAATAGCCCCATGCTTCTGGACAACAGCCAGACAGCAAGTGCCTCACTCTAGTGGCTTGAAAGTCAGCAGGTAAACAGAAACAGTAAACAGCCTTACTCTACCCTAACACAGGTAAAAGTCTACCAACCCTTAAACACTTCCTCTTCTGAAAGTTCAGTCACTGAATGCCAGCCTTCCCAAAACCTGGCAGATCAGCTCTGGCTTTGTTAGGGAGGAATTCACCTTTTTGGGATCAGATATGGAAATCAATATATCATTAGTTTGCAAATTCATAACCTTTTCAATGGTTTAATCCCAGTTCATGATTAGGTATGAATTCAGACTTGTGAGTGATAGATACACTGTCACAGCTGTGAGATCATCAAATTCAGTCTTTTCAATTCTTGTAGTAGTTGCAGTAGTCTATTTTTTGTGTGGATATTTGAATCTCAAAATGCCAAAACGAAACCGTAAATTTTGTGATGAGTTTTTCCAACTGTGGCCAATAAACCAGGAAAAGGTCCTTTTGAAGCTCTTTGTGCAACATACAATTGTTTATTCAATATCAAATATGATGGAAAGTCATATATAAAATGGCATATACTAATAGCTAAGCATGCAATGTATAATTTCCTCAGCTTGTACTAAAGAAAGTGATTTTAATAATTTTTTATTAAAAGAAATTCAGATGAATTAGAAACAATCACAACATGTAACAGCCTTCCCTAGCAGCTCTCCACTTTGAGCTCAAATGACTGAAAATACTGCTATCAAAAGCATTTTCTGATTTCAAAATTGCAAGCAAATTTTCAGGTGCCAAAATGCAATTAAAAAAATAGCTCCATGTACTGTTATAGATATTATTAAAGACCGAAATATCTCACCTTTGTACTACGTAGCCAAGGATGCAAGTAATCACAAGGCAATAGTTGTCTTCTGAAGAAATCTTGCTAGTAAGACTATTTTAAGTAAATCCCTTCCAGAAGCAATAGCAATTTCTTGCAGAGATTTTCTTGTTGAATTAGAAGTTAATGAAAAAAATTGTACTTCTTTTGAAGAGATAATATAAGTAGAAATCTTAGTGAATGTTGCATAAAGGTACAGACAGTATTTATTCAAAGTTGAAACAAATCATGAATGATTCTATAGGTGTTGGCTGTCCTGCTGATATTGTGCAGTAATGTTGCTCAAACAGCATGTCTTGTCTCTTGGCATTGAAGTAATGTCATGAAATTGTTCTTTTATCTGAGCATTTATACACTGAGCAATTAATGCATTTTAGGGACTCTGTTGGCATTCAGCATTCTTCTTAAACTACAGACCAGGGATCGATAAACTATAGTTTGCAGGCCAAATCCAGCCTGCTGTCTATTTTTATGAATAAACATAACGTTTTATTGGGACACAGCCCTGTGTATTGATCACTGTATTGTGACATGGCACATAAAGCCAAAAATATTCATCATCTGGTTCTTAATATGAACAATTTGTTAATCTCATACTATAGAACAGTATATTCCTAATAAGCCTCCACTCATTTTTTTCAAAACAGCAAAGATTTTAAATAGACACTTCTCCAGAGAAGATACACTGATGGCAATAAGGCATGTGCAAAAGGGGCAGGGAGGTGGCATCTTCTGACCTCCTTTAACCCCACAAGAGGAGGACAGAATCACCATCAGCAATCCAAGGCCTATTCCTGTGAAGCCAGACATGCTGTCTCCCTCCAACCCTCTTACTAACCTTGCCACCAACCATTCCTCCTATGGCACCCACTACCCGTCTGCTGGGTTCAGTCATTCACTGCCGTGGCCCCACAGAACTCACAGACTACGGGTTTTATTGGGGAAGCAACAAGCTACAATTCAAGTTCAGGAACACACTCAGTCTCTCACAGCCAGCCGTCTAAGCAGCTAGCAGTCTCTCTCAGTAGCACATAGCTTTCTCAGCAGTGCTTGTCTTTCTTACCTCTCTCTCAGCCGTGCTTGTTTCTCGTGTCTCTCTCAGTAGTGCTTGTCTCCCGTGTCTCTCTCAGCAGTGTATCTCTTAGTCTCTCAGCCAGCATGATTGATTCTCTTCTTCTAGGAGGGCTCCTTTTGAGCCTGGCAGAGTGGTCAAAGTAACCAATCCCAACATCAGAATTCTATACACCTGAGAGAAAGAGAGAGAGGGAGAACTTCCCAAAAGATTGCTTCATGCCACTCTCAACAGAAATACCCCAGGTGGATAACTTTAACAATCAGGAGCTACTCAGTTGCTCATGGCAAATCCCACCATGGAGTTTACAAAGACTATGTATGGCTAGAAAAGCCTTATTATGTAATTTACTACACTGCACCATGAAAAAATGTTCAACATTATTAGTTATTAGGGAAATGGAAACTAAAACCACAATGAGATACCACCTCAAAAAGACAAGTTTTGGTAAGGATTGGAGAAACAGGAATCTTCTTATATTGCTGGCAAGAACGTAAATGATACAGCCACTTTACTGTAAGCCCATGGCCATCAACTTGATTCCGACTCTTAGTGGCCACATAGGATTTCCAAGCCTATAAATCTTTACAGAAGCCTCATCTTTCTCCTGTGGAGCAGCTATGGCTTTGAACCACTGACCTTTTGGTTAGAAGCTGAGTGCCTTACCCACTACACCACAAGAGATCCTCTTAGTTTACCATGTTGTTGTTACGTGCCATTGAGTCGGACCCAGCTCATAGCGTACAACCCATTAATTCTAGGTATCTACCCTAAAAATCCTAGGTATCGACTCAAGCATAATGAAGACATATCCACACAAAGACTTAAGAAAAATGTTCACAGCAGCATTATTTTTTTAGCAGCATCATACATAATAATAAAAAAGTGGGAACAATCCAGTGTCCATCAGCAGGATAAACAAAATGTGGTATATCCATACTGAATGCGTCATAGACTGCAAGAAGAATGAATAATTCTGTCTTGGAGGAAGTGCAGCCAGAATGCTCCTTAGCAGCGAGAATAGCCAGATTTCCTCTCTCATACTTTGGTCAAGTTGTCAGAAGGGATCACTCCATGGAGAAGGATATTATGCTTGGTAGAGGGTCAGCAGAAAAAGGGGAAGACCCTCAATGAGATGGACTGACACAGTGGCTTCAACGATGGGCTCAAGAATGGCAATGATTGTAAGGATGGTGCAGGACCTGACAGTGTTTCCTTCTGTCGCATATAGGATTGCTGAGACACAACCAACTTGACGGCACCTAACAACAACATCCAGCAATAAAAAGCAAAGAACTACTGATATGTACAACATGGATGAACGTCAAAAACATGCTTAGTGAAAGAAGCCAGAAGCAAAAGATCACATATGATTATGTTTATATGGTATGTCTACAAAAGACAAAACTAAAAACAAAAAGTAGATTAGTGTTTTCCTGGGACTAAGGATGGAAATGGGAACTGACTGCAGATGGCCAAAAGGAATCTTTTCAGAGTGATAGAAATGTTCTAAAACTGGATTGTGGTGATGCACAATTTTAAATTCACTTTAATTATAGGTAAATTAAAACTCAACAAAATTAATCTCTCCCAGTTATTATGAGCTTTCCAACTTCACCTGAGTTCAATACCAAAAGCATTTGTTAGTATCTCACCGCCCCCCCCCCCAAGTTGGCCTCTGAGTCCTTTCCAAAGATACTGGATAAAACAAACAAAAGAAAACTCACTGCCATCAAGTTAGTTCCAACTCATAGTGACCCCCATTGGGTTTCTGAGGCAGTAAATCTTTACAGAAGTAGATTGCCCCATCTTTCTTCTGCAGAGTGGCTGGTGGGTTTGAACTGCCAATCTTCTGGTTAGCAGTCAAATGCCTTAGGCACTACGTCACCAGAACTCCTTAAAGATATGGATAGGTATAAGCAAAGAGGCTGGAAGCAAGCCCCATGTCTCCTAGATTCAGTCACTACCCTCTGGGCTTAGCATATAAGAACCCCAGGAGCTAAGGGAAGAAAAACAGCCAGGAGTGAGACTGACCATGCACTGAATCCCACCCACATCCCTCTTCCTACAGCTCAAGGCCTTGGGAATCAGAGATCATCCTGTAGGCATCCAGGTCCATACCAGTGGCCAACCATTTCTGGGACTGACTCCAGAGCTCAAAATGGATGAGAAACCTAAGTATAAAATCTAAAACTATGAAAGTTGTAGAAGGAAAAATAGAAAACTGTCTTAAACTTGGGCAAGGCAAAGATTTCTTAGATAGGACATGAAAAGCATAATCCATAAAAGAATAAACTGATAAACTGGATGTTATCAAAATTAAAATCATTTGCTCTTCAAAAGACATTCTTAGGAGAATAAAAGGACAAAGCACAGACTAGAAGAATATATTTGGAAATTACATATCTCAAAAAGTCTTGCAGCCATGCTATATAAAGAACTTCTGAGGCTCAATTTGAAAAAAAAAAAAAAAAAGCCAACCCAACAAAAACATGGGAGAAGATTTGAATAGACATTTCACCAGAGGATATATGGAAAGCAAATGAGAACATAAAAATATGCTCAACATAATTAATCATCAGGGAAATGCAAATGAAAACTATAGTGAATAGCAGTACATGCTTATTAGAATCACAAATTTTTAAAAAAATATTAAAAAATTTATTGAGATTTGAGTGAACCTTACAGGGCAAATTGGCTTTCCATTCAACAATTCACACACATTCACTTTTGTGACATTCACTGCAATCTGCACAGTGCAAGAGCACTCTTCACACTTCCTTCCCACACCCATCACTTCCCTTCTTCCTTCTCATCCCATTCCACCTTTCTAGCTCTATACCTAAGCAAATACTGCACTCTTAATCTTACATGATTGATTTGTTCTAATGAGTGCATAGCCTCCTGGCATCACTGTTCATCTTATAGGCCTATCGTCTGCCTAAAAGTTGAGCCACGGGTTGAGTTCATTTCCCAGCTTGAAGGGTGACTAAGGGCCATATTTTCAGGGTTCCACCAGTATTCATCAAACCAGTAAGCCTGATCTTTTTTATAATTTTGAGTTTTGTTTCATATTTTTTCCCCCATTCTATCCAGGACCTCCTATTGTGAGCCCTTTCAGAGAGGTCAACAGTGGTAGCCAGGCATCATTCTAGTTTTTCTGGTCTCAGGGGTTCCTGTGATCCTTTAGGCCTCTGGAATAATTGTTTTCTTGTATCTTTGATTTTCTTCACTCTTTGTTCTGGAAGGGGAGAGACCAACAGTTGCATCTTAGATGGCTGCTTACAAGTTTTTAAGACCCCAATCACTACTCACCAATCAAAGCAGGATGTAAGACATTGTCTTTGTTAACTAGATTATGCCAATTGACCTTACTGTCCCGTGAGATTATGGTCCTGAGGCCCCATGCCCAGTGACTCAAGAATCACTAAAATTAAAAAGACTGACAATATTAAGGGCGGGCAAAGATGAGAACTTTTGTATGTTGTTGGGAATGTAAAATGGCACAACCTCTTTGTAAAAATTTTGATGTCTCTTAAAAAATTAAATACATGCTTACCTTAGGATGCCACCGTTCCATTCCTAGGTAGTTACCCAAGAGAAATGAAAGAACATATCTTTATAAAGAATTAGATACAAACATCCATAGCAGCTTTACTTGTAATAGCCAAGAACTAGAAACAACTCAAATGGCCAGCAACAACAACTGTTGATATATGCAATGACATGGATGAATCTCAAAATAATTATGCTGAAAGTAGCCAGACAAAAGAGAGTATATATAGTGTGATAACATTTATATAAAATCCTAGCAAAAGAAAGCTAATCTACAGTCACAGGAAGCACATCAGTGGTTACCTGAGGAGAGCAAGGGAGGGACTACAAAACGCACACAAGGAAACTTTTGGGAGTGATGATTAAGTTTATTATCTTTATCATGGTGACTGTTTCATTGGTATACCTATCTCAGAACCTATCAATGACATTATAATAACTAACATTGTTTTATTTTTGATCCTGTGACTGTTCTAAGCAACTTATGTGCATTAATGCATTTAATCCTCAACACAACCTATGTTGTTGTTGTTGTTATGTGCCGTCGAGTCAGCCCTGACTCATAGCGACCCCTCCTTGGGTTTCCGAGGCAGTATCACTACGGAAGTAGGATTGCCCAACCTTCCTTCTGAGGAGTGGCTGGTGGGTTTGAACCGCCAGCCTTCTGGTTAGCAGTCAAGTGTCTTAGCCACTATGCTACCACAACCTATGAGGTAAGAAAATTCTCTGCATTTTACAGATAAGGAAATAAATACACAGAGTCTCTGTTAATTTAACCAAGATCACACACCAGGATTGAAACCAAAGTCTACCTGGCTCCATATTATTAACCTCTACCCTCTGCTTCCTGCACTGGGCAAAGGCAAGCTGTCTGCAAAAATGGATGCTAAAACAGAACACGTTTACATCTTCTCTCATTTCTACAGGTAACAGAAAATAACAGTAGGGTCTTCATAATCATAATTAATTAATGAAGTTGCAAGGAAATATTTCCTGCTTTGAGGTCACTTGCAACAGTAAGAAGATGGATTCATGTAAGACTGGTGCCTTGCATTTGCCCCAAAGTGTGTATGTACTGCCATCGAGTCAATTCCAACTCATAGTAACCCTACAGGTCAGAGTAGAACTGCCCCATAGGGTTTCCAAAGCTGTAAATCTTTATGGAAGCAGACTGCCACAGCTTTCTTCCATGGAGCAGCTGGTGGAGTCAAACCACTGACCTTTTTATTAGCAACTGAGCACTTTAACTACTTCATCACCAGGGCTCCCTAAATGGTTATACCCAACTTATGCAAAGGCACAGACTGCAAGTAGTAAAAGAGTAACCATAGAGTTATAGGTGTATCTTGAGTATATACAACATTCATTATATTCATAGAGTTTCTCCCCAGTATGGAATCTCTGGTGCTGAAGGAACACAGAGCTGCTACTGAAAGCCTTGCCACACTCCTTACATTAATTCATAGGGCTTTTCCCCAGTGTGGATTCTCTGATGCTAGATCAAGGCTGTGTCTGAACTTAAACCTTTAACTGAACTTAAACAGCAGCAGGGAGAATGGGCATTGTGCCTGAGGTAGGTCCCTGAAAGCTTGCAGAGTATTGAGAATGCCCTCCAAGATGTAGATTGCTTTACAAGGGCAGGGTCCCTCTGTTTTTGAGTTCAGGAGACTTCTAATACACAGGTTAATAGAGTGTCTATATATTTTTCTCTTTTTTGTGGTCTCAGAAAGGATGCTATAAGAGATAAAAGTTTTGAGATCTAAAGAGTTTGGAAATGTCTTTATTCCACTGCCACACTTGAGGGTATAGAGTCCAGGGTAGAAAGTAATTTTCCCTCAGAATTTTGACAGCATATACCATTGTCAGCTCTATTTCAGGTTGCAGTTGAGAAATCCGATACAATTTTTATACCCGTTTTTTTTTTTTTTTGGTCTCTCTAGGAAATTTTAGGCTCTCCTCTTTAAACCTGGTGTTTTGATAATTCACAGTGATGTTCTTTGGTGTGATTTTTCCCTCCATGTCCATCTTGCTGGCACTTAGTTGACCCTTTCAATCTGGAAACTTACACGTCCTTTCATGGTTATAAGTTCTGGGGATTTTTTTTTTTAATTTTGTCTTTTGCAACCATAAAAAGAGTTCATGTGAATGTTCTTCTCAGAACATTTAATGATAGGAGACTGAAAGGGCAGCATTTGCCAAGAAGCAAAATCCAGAAAGCAGGAAGGGGCAGGAAGGATGGGTGAATGGAGATGAGGAATGCAGGGTGAAAGAGGGGAGAGTGCTGATGTGCTGATGCATTGAGAGGACTTCAAGATCATGAAGTGATTTATGTATAAGTTGTTGAATGAGAACCTAATTTGCTTTGTAAACTTTCTACTAAACCACAATAAAACATTCCAACAACAACAAAAAGAGTTCATGTGAGGGACACAGACAATCTGAGGAAAGTTTCATAATGGACGTGGAGAGTCTGAACTAAACATACTATCAGGACAGAGAGAGAAGCAGGCATTCCAGCTATGCAGAACTGTGGGCACAGAGGCTTAAGGGTGAAAATGAGCACAGTTCAGGAGGCACAGAGGCACAGTGATGACACTGACACAAAAAAGCATGAAATGGTGAGAAAAAGAGGAGGGCACAGAGGCCTTCACAGTGGACAGCCCTACTCTTGGGCAGGAGTCTTCTGGATGTGTAGTTTCTGGTGCAGAATGAATCTTCCACACCAGCTGAAGGTTTTCCCACACACCTTACATTTATAAGGTTTCTCACTAGTGTGAAATCGCTCATGCTGAATGAGAGTGATTTTCTGATTGAATGCCTTCCCACACTCCTTACATTTACAGGACTTTTCCCCAGTGTGGATTCTCTGATGTTGAGTCAAGGCTGTGTTAGAGCGTAAATGTTTCCCACATTCCTTACATTCATAGGGCTTCTCCCCAGTATGCATTTGCTGATGAACAATAAAGCTTGACCTACAACTGAAAGTCTTCCAACATTCATTACATTCATAGAATTTCTCCCCAGTATGGAATCTGTGGTGCTGAAGGAACACAGAGCTGCTACTGCTACTGAAGGCCTTGCCACACTCCTTACATTCATAGGGCTTTTCCCCAGTGTGGATTCTCTGATGCTGGATCAATGCTGTGTCTGAACTTAAACCTCTTCCACATTCTTTACCCTTAAATGGCTTCTTTCCAGTGTGAATTACCTGATGCCAAATAGTGCCTAAGGCACTTGATTGCTAACCAGAAGGCTGGCGGTTCAAACCCACCAGCCACTCCTCGGAAGGAAGGTTGGGCATTCCTACTTCTGTAGTGATACTGCCTCGGAAACCCAAGGAGGGGTCGCTATGAGTCGGGGCCGACTCGATGGCAAACAACAACAACAACAACATAAAATAAACAATAACACCCGTGAGGAATGAGCTCCTTAGAACAATCAGCCATACAGAACCAAACAGCAACATCTGCCCAAAAGCAAAGATGAGAAAGAAAGGAAGGTCAGGGAACTGGAGGGATGGGGTCAGGGAAGGCAGGGCAGAAATGAGGAGAGTTACTGACACATTGTGGAGTTAGCAACCAATTTCATGGAACAATTTGTGTATGAATTGTTGATCGGGAAACTAGTTTCACCTAAAACACAACAAAGTGTTCACAAAAAGAAAACATGACCTGTAATAAGGAAAATAATTAATCAAAATGAAGTCAAAACTAACAAAGAGATTAGAATTGGCAAAGAAGGACATTAAAATAATTGTTGTAAATGTATATATTCAAAGGTTAAATAGGAATATGAAAGACAAAGAAAAAAAAACGAATATAATTCTAGATATGGAAAATACAATGTCTGAGATAAATAATATACTTCATGAGATTAATGGCAAATTAGATAGACATTCCAGAAGAAAAGATTAGTGAACTTGAACAGCAATATAACATGGGATTTATATGTATGCAGATAGATATAAAATACATGACAATAGCATAAAGGCTATGAAAGGAAAAACAGAAGTATATTGTGATAGAGTTTCATATTAAAGTAGTAGTATTATTTAAAGCTACACTGTGATAAGTTAGAGATATATATTATAAATCCTAAAGCAATTTCTAAAATAAAAATGTAATAAATAAGCAAAGAAAGGACAAAAAAATGGAATCATAAAAAATACTCCATAGAGCCAAAAGAAGGTGGAAAAGAGGGGAAAAGAATAACAAAGAAAGATGGAACAAATACAGAGGGGGAAAAAAAATGATAGATTCAAATATAACCATATATGGTTACACATAAATGGTAAATAGTCTAAATATCCCAAATAAAATACAAACATTATCAGATTAGATTTTTTTAAAAAAAAGCAAAAAATATGTTCTCTTTAAGAAATGTACATTAAATAGAAAGATAGGCATAGGTTAAATGTAAAAAACATTGTACATGCTAACACTAGTCAAAAGAAAGCTGGACTGGATGTATTAAGACAATGTAGATTTCAGAGCAAAGAATATTAACAGGGATAAAGAAGGTAATTTCATAACTATAAATGGATTGATTATCACAAAGACGCAATGATTCTAATTATACACCTTTTAATAGATCTTCAAGATACATGAAGAAAAACCTGATAAAACTGAGAGGAGAAACAGACAAATCCATAATTTTATCTGGCAATTTCAGTACCCCTTCTCAATAACTAAGGAGCTCTGATGGCATAGTGCCTAAGGCATTGGACTGCTAACCAGAAGGCTAGCAGTTCAAACCCACTAGCCACTCCATGAAAGGAAGACTGGGAAATCTACTTCTGTAAAGATTTACCATCTTGGAAACCCAAAGTGGGTTGCTATTAGTCGGAATTGACTCGATGGCAGTGAGTTTGGTTGTTGTTTGTTGTTGTTTTCTCAATAACTGATACAACAAGTAAAGAGAAAATCAGCAAGGATATAGCAGACCTGGACAATACTACGAATATACTTGACCTAGTAGGCATCTATAGAACATTCCATCTGTCATGGATTGAACTGTGTCTCCAAAAAATATGTTTCAACTTGGCTAGGCCATGATTTCCAGTATTGTGTGGTTTTCCTCCATTTTCTGATCTGATGTAACTGTGCTATGTGTTGTAAATCCCAATCTCTGCCTGTGGTTAATGAGGCAGTAATAGGATTTGTTTGTTATGATAAAAAAGCAGAATTAAGGTGGGATGCAACATCCCTACTCAGGTCACAGCCCTGATCAGATGTAAAGGCAGTTTCTCTGGAGCATGGCCTACATCACCATTTATCTTACAGGAGAGAGAAGGGAGCCTCAATACCACCAAGAGAAAAGAGCTGGGAGCAGAGGCCATCCTTTAGACCCAAGAACCCTGCACTGAGAGCTGCCTAGACCCAAGGGAAGATTGATGCAAAGACACATGGAAATGTCTAGGGAACACTGGGCCCACAAATGTTGAAAGGAGACAAGGACATTCCCCCAGAGCCTACAGTGAAGGAAAGCCTTCCCATAGAACTGGCACCCTAAATTTGAATCTCTAGCCTCCTAAACTGTAAGTGAGTAAGTTTCTGTTTGTTAAAAACAGCCTTTTATGGTATTTCTGGTACAGTGGCACTAGGTAACTAAGATAACACCATCCAATAGCAACAAAATACACATTCTTCTCAAGCCTAAAAGAAACATTTACCAAGATAGACCACAATCTGACTTATAAAGTCTCAAACTTAAAAAGATTCAAATCATACAAAGTGTGTTTGACTACAATGGAATTAAACTAGAAATAGCAGAAAGATCCTTGGAATATTCCCAAAAATCTGGAAACTAACACATTTCTGACTAACAAATGGATCAAAGAAGAAATCAAAAAGAACATCAAGTATTTTGAACTGAATGAAAATTAAAACACAGTACATCAGAATATGTGGGATGCTACTAAAGCAGTACTTTGGGGAGAATTTAAAGCACTAAACATCTATATTGGAAAAGAATGGTCTCAAGTCAATGACCACAGAAACTAGAAAAAGAGCAGCAAATTAAACCCAAAGTAAACAGAAGAAAGGAAATAAAGATCAAAGTGGATCTAAAACAGTAGGGAAAAAAATTTGATTCTTTCAGAGATCAATAAAATAGATAAAACGTCTTGCCAGATTGCTCAGGAAAATATATATATATATACTAGTATATAAATTACTAGTATTAATAATGTAAAAAATGATATCCCTGCAGGTAATAAGAGGATAATAAAGAAATATTGTGAACAATTTTATGTCAGTAATTTCTACAACTTAAATGAAATGGACAAACTCCTTGAAAAAACACAAATTACCAAAGCTCACACTCAAGAAATAGATAAGTTGAATAGGCCCATCTCTATCAAAGAAAGTGGATCTGTATTTAAAATCCTTCCAACAAAGGTTACAATATGGATGAAACTTGAACACTTGCTAAGTAAAATAAGTCAGTCACAAAAGAACAAATATTATATGACCTCACCTATATAAAAAGACAAGAACAGGCAGATGTATAGAGGGCAAAGTTTATTAGTGGTCACCAGGGGCAAGAGAAAAGGGAAAAAGGAGTTATTGCTGTGGAGCACAGAGTTTCAGTTTACAGTGATAGAAAAATTGCATTGATTAAAGGTAGGGTTGCACAGTCGATTAATTGCTGTCAAGTTCTGTCTGTAAAACTGAATTGGCAAAAGTGTCATAGATAGAGTTACAACCAAAAAAAACCCAAACTCACTGCCGTTGAGTCAATTAGAGCAGCTGCTAGGGCTGCTTATGTACAACCAAACAATTAATGGGTTTTGGTTTCTTGATTTGGAGATTTAGGCTCATGGTTTCATAGGATATCTCAGTTTATTGTTCTAATAGCACATATAGTGCTTCTATTCTGTCTCCTAGTTTGTTTCCTAATACCTGGGGTTGTAAAAGCTTATAAGTGGCCATCCAAGGAAAAACTGGTCTCTGTTCACTTGGAGGAACAAAGGGAAAAAGAGAGTCAGGAACAGGAGGAGGAAGAAGAATGTGTGCCTAATCGCCTCTGTGAACAACTGCCTCCTTTACCGTGAGAGCAGAACTGCATGGTGACTGGCTACCACTACTTTATGTTTTAATCAATAAGTCTATAAAGAATCCTGATCCAAAGGGGGAAAAAGTAGAACAGAACTTCAGATAATCATAGAACCAAGACTTTCTGGAGCCATGGATGAATGCCTGAAATTCTTGCCCTGAGATAATCTTTAAACCTTAAACCAAAATATCCCCTGAAATCTTAAAATCAAATGGTAACTTAGCTTAATACCCAAAGAATGTCTACCTTGAGCATTATGCTCTTTTAAAACCTATCTATATGGGATCTGATTGACAACAGCAATTCGAAAGATTAGATTGTAACCTCAGAGGATAGTGAATTTATGCTAATGAGGGAGGAATAATGCAGAAAAGGAGTGAGAATGGTTGCACAACTTAGAATGTAATCAATGTCACTGAATTGCACCTGTTGAAATTACTGAATTCGTGTCTGTTCTGCTGTGTATATTCTCAACACAACAAAAAATAAAATTATTAAAAAAAAAACTTCCAATAAAGAAATCTCCATGCTAGATGGTTTTACTAGTGAATTCTACCAAACATTTAAGAAAGAATACAATTAATTCTACATAAACTTTTCCAAAATATTGAAGAGGAAGGAATTTTTCCCAACTCAATGATGGTTCTAGCCAGTACATTCAGTCACCAACAAGAAATAAAAGGAATCTAAACAAGGAGTGTCTATAAGACAAAAACATTATAAGAAAACTTCAGATCAATAAGAACATAGATATGACAGTTCTAGACAAAACTTTGGCAAATCAGTTCCCACATATATTAAATCATCATGACCAAGTGAGTTTTATCCCAAGAATGCAGGGTTGGTTTATCATTTTTTTCAAAAAAATCAATGAAATTCATACTAACAAATTAAGAAAGGAAAATAATGTGACCATCTAAAAAGATGGGGAAAAAGCATTTGACAAAACTCAAACATCCATTCCTGATTTTTAAAACTTTCAGCAAACTAGTAATAAAAGAGCATTCCTGAACTTGATAAAGGGCATCTACAGAAAAACAAAAAAACCTAATATAAACATCATACTTCATAGCAAAAGAGTGATGTTTTTACCCTAAGATCAAGAAAGATAGCCACTTCCACCACGTTTATTCAACATTGAAATGATGGTTC